TTTCAAAGCAAAGAATGCTCCTGAGGATGAAGAGAATCATTTGATAATTTCTATTCATTAAGAGGACATAATAATCCTAAACATTTATGTACTTCATATACATGAAGCAAACATTGGTAGACCTGAAAAGATCACTCCACAATTATTGTGATATCTCAATATCACTTTCTCAAATATTGATAGAATAAATATACAGAAGGAAGGACATGGAAGGTTTGAACAACACTACCAATAAGCTTGAACCAACTGACTTAGAAAACTACACCCAACAGCAACAGAAGACATATTCTTTTCTAGTGCACACAGATACTCTGGGCCATAAAACAAGTCTCAATAAATTGTTCAGACTCACAGATTCAGAGAAAAAACCAATGGTTGCCAGATGGGAGAGGTGTTGGGGGGCTGGGTAAAAAAGGTGAAGGGATTAAGAACAAATTGGTAGTTATAAAATAGTGATGGGGATGTAAAGTACAGCACAGGGAATATAGTCAATAATATTGTAATAACTAGGTATGGTGCCAAATGGATAATGGATTTATCAGGGGATCATTTCATAAATTATATAAATGTCTAATCACTATGCTGCACACCTGAAACTAATATAACATAATATTGAATGTCAACTATAATTTAAAAATAAATAAATAAATTTAAAGTAATTTGAATTATACAAAGTATGTTGTCTGACTGCAGTGGCATTAAATAAAAAATCCATAACAGAAAAATCTCAGAAAATCCCCAAATATTTAGAAACTAAATAATATACTTCTAAATAACCAATGGGTCAAAAAAAAAATAAACCACACAAAAGGGAACTAAGAAAATACTTTGAACTGAATAAAATGAGAACACAACATACTAAATTGTGAGATGCAGCTAAACCAGTGTTTAAGGGAAATTTATAGCCCTAATCATGTTAGAAAAGAAAAAAAAATCTCCAATCAGTGAACTCTACTTCCACCTTAAGAAACTAGAAAAAAAAGGAGCAAAGTAAATCTAAAGTGATGAGAAGAAAATAATAAACAAATCATTGAGACAGAAAACATAAAAAGAGAGAAAATCACTGAAAACCAAATAAACGCTGGTTGTTGTTGTGCTTTTTTTTTTAATCAAAAGCTCACTAAAATTGATAAACCTCATCCAGGCTGAACAGGAAAAAAAAAATAGAGATGTTACCAATTACCAGTATTAGTAATTAAAGAAGTGGCACAACTACTGATCCTACAGATACTAAAAATGTAATAAGGAATATTATGAACAGCTTCATGCCCTAAAATTGACTACTTTGAAGAAATGGACAAATTCTTTGAAAGACACACACTATCAAAGGTCACTCAAGAAAAACAGGAAACTTAAATAGTCCTGTATCTATTAAAGCAATTGAATCTGTAGTTTAAAACCCTCCTGCAAAAAAAAAAAAAAAATTCTAAGCCCAGGAAGTTCCACTGGTGAATTCTACTTAACATTTAAGGGAAAAATAATACCAAATAAACACAAGTTTTTTCAGGAAATAGAAAAGGAAGGACTACTGCCCAACATGTGGAGAACTGGCATGCTCATACACTGCTGATGTGAATGTCACAGGGTATAATCACTGTAGAAAACAGTGTGTCAATTTTTTAAAAGCTATACACCTATCATATGGCCTAGCTATTCCCTCCTAGTTATTGATATAACATACACAAAATCATATATCTACACAAAGACTTGTGCATGAAAAGTCATAGCAGCTTTCTTTGTAATTGCCCCAAACTGGAAACAGTTCAGATGTCCATTGACCAATGAATGGATAAGCAAAATGGGATATTCCATTCAATGAAATACCACTCAGAAATAAAAAAGAAATGAGCTACTGATACATGGAACAACATGGATTAACCTCAAGAAAATTCTTCTAAGTGAAAGAAGGCAGAAAAAAAAAAGGTACATACTGTGTGAATCCATTTATATAAAATTCTAGAAAATGCAAACTAACCTATAGTGACAGAAAGCAGATCAGTAATTGCCTGGGGATGGGGAGGTGGGGTACAGGGAGTGGTGGAATAGGAGGCTTAAAAATGGGCCCAAGAAAACTTTAGGGGGTGATGGATATGTTCATTATCTTGATTGTGGTAATGGTTACACAGGTGTAATATATGTCAAGACCTATCAAACTGTACACTTTAAATATGTATAGTTCACTGTATATAAATTATACTTCAATAAAGCTGGGAAAAATAAAATCAGGTATGATCATCCAAGAGTAAGTCATGTAGTTTCTCTCATCATGTTGACTTTTGCTACTGACTATCAAGCTTGACAATCTATATCTATCCCATTCGAACCAAGTACCTTGCAGTGTTGTAGTAACAGTCACATTTTCCCTGAAAATGGGCTGCTTTTCTTTAGCACTGTGTGAGTTAACTTGAAAAGCGTCCTTTATTGAAGAAGAGCATCAACAAGGGGCAAAGGAGCAAGTTATAAGGTTCCAACCTGATGCACTGTGGTGAGGGTTGTGTGATGGTGGCCGATAATGGAATAGCGACGTGGAAGGTAAAGAAGGAAGTGATACAAGAAGAGGAAGGACAAAGAACTAGTGAGACAAAGAGGTGAAATGATAAGAAAGAAAGGAAAAAGGGGAAATGGAAAGATAAAGTGAGGGAGAAACCAAGTTCTCCTTTACTCTTATTTTTTTATCCTGCTAGTATGTTTCTGATATCACTGGAGAGATGACAAATGCTTGAATTACTTTCCTATGCTGTACAATGGTTTAGAATAGCAATACTAGAAACTAAATTAATTTATCTTAGAGCAAAGTACCAGCTAAACAATCACAGACTATTTTCCTTGGTTTTCTGGATGTCTTGGTGACAGGTGAGGTAAGGCCCCTCAAACCAATTTATATTACTAAAGGGTCATTTTCAGATCAACATTCCTCAGTAATATTTTAATTACTTGTGTTACATGCAACCATGGTCCGACATACAAGCCTAGCTAGAGTTGGTCACAGTGGGGGGCAAAAGCAAAAATAACACAATAACCATCTGGTGAAGTATTGTGCGAGCCTACATCCTCCAGCCCCAACTCTGAGTGTTGAAATTAAATCACTTTTATTTTCCTCTTCGAAAGATACATTCAAAATAAATCCACATTTGTTTTTAGCAGCAAGAAACGGTCTATAAAAAATCTTAAGATTTTCCTACCTTGACAAAAATTGTTGAATTGCATTCTTGCAATGCCTCCATTAAACTAATCACATGGAGACACACCATTTCTACCATCTGAAACAACAAACACGAAAATCAGTTGCACTCCCAATAACACAGGAACTATGCAAACTAGTCTGCAGCCATAGAGAGCCCGTGCCCTGTGCCCGTTAGGTCTGTCTGTACAATGACCATAGAGGACGGCAGGAGTAGCATTTATTTACCTTTAAAACTTCAACCAGAAACGGGGATTTTTAAAGCTCCAGAGGGCCTGCAATCGTCAAGCCTTCCTCATCTAACTGAGGCTGCCAATGGAATTCAGGTATTGCTCTCACTAATCTGCGCTGCACTGTGACTCACACCAGAGAATCAGTGGCTTCTGCTTCCTTCATTTCCAACTATAGAACTATTTGGGCTTAGGTCCTTTTCTCCATCCTGTTCTCCATCTTGATCCTTTCTCCACAGTTTCATCATCTGGAGTGGTTGTTGAATTTACTGCATATCTGTCTTTGAGGCTTTGTTCTCTATAGAACAAGGCAGCCATGCTTACAGTTCAAAAGTACAGTAGAGGGGCGGCCGGTTAGCCCAGGTGGTTAGAGTACAGTGCTCATAACATCAAGGTTGCTGGTTCGATCCCCACATGGTCCACTGAGTTGCACCCTCCACAACTAGATTGAAACAACTACTTGACTTGGAGTTGATGGGTCCTGGAAAAACACACTGTTCCCCAATAAAATTAATTTTTAAAAAAAGTACAGTAGAGATGATATCCCTTGTCAGAAATTCCTAAGACTGGACTTTAAACACTCCAGGGGGGTTTTACCAGACTGGCTTATTTTTTTGTGGTTGGAAAAAAATTTCAGGATAGAATTAATTCAAATTCATTTATAACATCATTTATACACAATTCATTTGTAATATTTGATTATCAAGGGAGCTTTAATAGAGAGGTATTAATAGCATCAAAAAACAAATGACAACAGAAGGAAACTCTGAATCTCTAGCTTAAATTAGAAGTCTTGGTTTCATTGTCTATAAAATAACAGAATAGAATGCTGCATCTCCAAACCTCTATGATCCAATAAATGTAATTCTCTCCCTAGCAGTCAGAACTGTTTGTGCACCCCAAATTTTCACAGTAATGTCCTTTAAATTGAACTAACACATCCCTTGCCATACAGAATTGTCTATAGCATCTGCTTCTCTAAAGAAAAAAAAAAGTGCTTCACTAAAGGAAATACATAATCCCCTTTCCAATCAGACCTAAAAGAAAATATTTCTTAGACTAATATTCAATCAAAAATCACTTCTGGAATGCCTTTTGTGGACGGTGCAGTGTTGGATTTCTGAGCATGTTGGGGTCATCTCTATGGTGTCCTTCCAGGTCCCTTGCCCCTTGCAGACATGAATTCAACCCATAACCAAGACACTGGCTGCTGCTTTGCCAGCTCAGAAGCCTCCTCCAGAGCAGCACACTGAACCAAAGGACTCCCCTGTGAGTTTCTTCTGTGCACCCTCCAACCGTGACCCCATGAGGACTGATCTGTGCTCATTCAGTGAAGTGGGTTCATGCTAACCATCCCCAGATATTTTCCAGTGAAGTTTGGAGCAGCCCCTCTTGGTGAGCCATCTCCATTAAAACAGAACTGGATTTGAAGACTGGGGAACTCAAAAAGGTGAGGCTCTTCTCAGGTTTTGAGTCGTGCATAGAACAAGCACTTATAGTTGGTTTGCTCTTAAACACTACAAAACATGACCTAATTGACTAGGGCTTTTCCAAATAGTCTTAGAATCCAAAAATAATATGAATCTCCCTCCTCTCTGAATTTATAGCACCAAAACAGCTCTTAAAGGTAGATGTTTCATATACATTTCCTTCAACACTAGGCAGAGAAAACAAAAATTGTTTTTACTGATTTTCTTGCTTTGCTTTTCATCACAATCCTTATGCGCATAGAACATCCAGTTTATAATGTAAAAATTCATCAATCCATTTATATAATATTTCAACTGAGATCTTTAAGACAGAGCATGTGAGGATCGCAAGTGGTTTACACATTTTGAGGTTCCGTCCAAGAGGGAACGCTTATTTGTGAACTCACCACTTTGTTGTGGGCCATCAGCTGAAGGATGCTGGGTGTCACCCGACTCCAAAACTCCAGTGCGGTCAGGATGGCTGTGAAGCTGAACTCATTCTGACTTTGGACGTTTGTAGCTACGGCACTTTGTTCGCAATACACGGTCCAGAGCTGAGCAAAGATAAATGCGTGGAAGAGGGAACACATGTGCAGCACGGAGGTCTGGAGAGAAACAAAAGGAAGAGCTGTTACGCTCTAGTGGGCTTTGCTGCTCCCTGGAGTCCGCCTCGCATGGCTCTGGCCTTCCGAGGAGCACAGCTGAAGCACAGCGAATCCAAGTGATCCGAGGCCGAAGGAGTTCACTCCAAGCTACAAACTCGTGATTCATCACCTTAAGACAAGCCACTCTTCATTCGGTCAGCAGGAGTGTGCTTAGAGAACAAAGCATGTTTCCAAAGAGAAGGCACAGCAATTTGCAGAATAAGTCTACCTATAATGAAACTGACATTCCCATCCCTAAACTATATTAGGAAGAATAATCATTCTACCATTTTAGGGTGTTTCCTCAACTGTAACATGGGGATAATAGCATTCTCCTCAAAGAGTGGTAGTTAGGAGTAAAAGAGGTGATATCCATGAGCACACTGCCCAGAACTTAATAATTATACTAGTGGAAGTATTAATAGTAGCAACAGTAGCAAAGATAGTATTTCTGCCAGCAGTAAGCACTGATGGGCCAAGCACAGCACCTACAATGTCCCAGGCACTGTGCTAAAGACTTTTCATAGATCACTCCATAATTCTCGAACCATCCCCTCATGTGTTGATCAAAAACTGGAGCTCAGAGAGGTTAAGTAACTTTTTCAAGGTCACAGAATTAACGAAGTGCCATCATTAGGAATCAAACACAGCTCTAAGTTGAAATATCAGGAACAGGCTCCATAATTCCTCTTGCAAACATCATTCAGGTTGTGTGGATGGGTGCGTATTTTATCATAGGGTCAGCCTGTCCTGGCCCAAACCCACCGGGACCTCCTGAAATCGGCCTAGGCACTAGGAAGGGCTAAGGCTCTGCCAAGGCTCCTCACAGCTGATTAGCACCAATGTGTCTGGTTTGCTTGTACTGGCTCATGTGGCTCATGACTGATGCCTGCCTGGGGCTTATTCTATTCCCTAAAGCACATCATCTGTCTCTATAATTCAGAAAGTTCCTCTGTGTAGGTGATTCTAACGTGTAATTCAGCCGAGTCCCCAACTGGCCTTCTTATTTTCATTTTGTGTCTTCATACAGCCCTAGAGATTTGAATTGAAAAGACAGTGCATGAAGAATTAGATAGAGCATACATTTTCCTCCACTTCACATCTGGTTCTAAAAACTGCTCACAAAATTTTTGTTCTACTTCCAGCCTCTTATTTCTCTTCATTATTTTGAAACAGAAATGCCTAGGAAGCTAACTCTTGCTTGCCTCCCTCGTTTGTCTTCATAAAAGTAAACCTAAAAACAATTTAGGGGCAAGAAAAGATAGTCTGGGAATTTAAACAACTTTAAATAAGGCATTAGCACAAAGTTGCTTTCCTGCTATCCACAGGAGGGCCAGTGATAAGATGCATTTTATTCTCAGAAGAAACATAATTGGCTGATAAGGGTTTCCATTAGCAATTTTGATGCATATGGTCTTAATCTTGCAGAAATCACTTACCTTTGATTGCTCTGGAAATCCAATCAGGATAACAATAAGATGGTCTGCAATGTGGGAACCTGCATCCAGAGGTATGGGCAGGCACGGGGAGGAGGCGTTTGGACACACTGCGTTATGAGTGAGGGACCCGAGAAGCAGCCAGGACAACAGGCGGATGTGGGAGACGCACTCGATGAACTCTTTAGGTCTATCAGAGAAGGAAGCGTTAAAGATGATTTTACGTTCTCTGTTTCGTTGGGTGCTCAACAAATGCTTATTGATGGAAGGGATTCAAAGTGTGGTCTTGTAGACAATGACATAAAACAAAACACCAAGGTGACAGAGTGCTCACAAAGTGATGTATCGGTTTTTCTTGTTTCCCACTCTAATCCTGGACCTTAGCTTCTTGAGCAAAGAGCAGCCTTTGGTGACACAGAATTAAAGACCGTTCTTCCACAAACCTGGCTGTCTTTCTCACTAGCTTCTGTTTCTAAATTCTTTCCTTTCCTCTCATTAGAAAGGTTGACATCCCCACTTGGTGGGGGCGGGGGGGGGGAAGGCAGGGAATAGAGGAGGAGATAGATATAACACACAGCCATCCATTTTCCTGCTCTCCAAAAATTTTCTCCTCCTGCCCTCCTCACCCCCGACTCCAAACCTTTCCACTAGCCAGGAAGCTAATAATGCAAAATGGCAGGCTCGAGCCTGCTCTGAGTTCCCAAATAAACTACCCATGGGCCCCTCTCTCTTCTTAGCCTCCCTGACAGGCGGGATCCTGGGCTCACACCTCCTTGCACTGTATTTCATTCCTGCTATAGATTTTGTTCCAGCTATAATCTAAGCTTGAAGGCAGAAGCTTATGTAAGTGTTCAATAAATACCTATCGATTTATTTAACCAGTTGAAATTAAGAGTTAAATGGTAGTTCTAAGCTCCAGGTTTTCATCATCCATTAGGATGTCTGAGGATTTTTTATGAGGGTAAATCTCTTTTATTGGAAGCATCATGAAGTGCTCATGTTAAAAAATGCTGCTGGGTCAGCAACTATGGGGATGGGTCTCCATTTCCATCTTCCCAACCAATCATATTCCACTCCCACAAATCTTCGCTGCATTCATTAGCTCTCGCTGAGCCCCAGGAAGCTCAGGGTGCTTCCTGCCTTATTTACCCTCATTGCTGGAATAATAAGGGTCTTACCCTTGTTGCATTGCAGAAGGGGGATGATAGAGCCAAGGCAGATAGCGAATCACAGCTTTATTATCTCTGTGGTTGCCCCGGGAGATTTCCATGGCTGCAATCTGAGCCAGCCCAACTTTGAGATGTCCTCCAAAGGTATCTTCATGCAGAGGCTGGGAACATGTCTTCATGTGGCTCTACAAAACCAAACGGCATTCTGTGACTTTGGCAGAGTACCTGGACACATTCCAGGCTGTGCTTCAAAAAGATCAGCTTGTCATTTCCGCACCTCCAATCACCACTCCCAAACATACAACCCACTGAAATGTCTTCCTTGGCTTCCCACTGTTCTTAGAATAAAGGGGGAAAAAATCCCTTAGCATAACCTACAAAGCCTAGAATGCTCTAGCTCCCGCAGACCTCTGCATCTTACCCGTCCTCCTTATGGTCCCGATCACACTGGCTCCTTCCCTTTACTGGCCTTTGGTCATGCTGTTCTCTGCCTGGAATACTGTTCCTGCCTTTCTTTACCTAATCAACTGCTATTCGTTGTTTGGATTTTAGCTCAAGTCTCACTTCTTCTGGGAAGCCTTCTCTGATACCCCTGTAGGTCCTATCATCCTATCAGGAGCTCTCATGCTGCTGTCTCCCCCTTCTTCAGAGCAATACAGTCACAATTTTACTTCAGTTTGTATGAAACGTTCATTAAAATTGGCCTCCACTACCAGAAACGAGGGCAACTACTGTATCTGTTTTGGTTCATCGTTGCATCTCTGCTAATAAATGCTTAGAACAGTGCCAGGTACATTATAGGTACTCAATACATATCTGTTGAATTAATTTAGAAACATTTCTTTGCTCAGTGTGGCTTAGCGAGTGGAAAGAGCACTGAACTGGGAGCTGAGACCTAAGTTCTAGACCCAGTTCTGTCCTAATTAGTCACAGAGACTTAGATAAGCCACTTGCCACTGGACCCTTCTCCTCTGTTTGCTGACACCATGTAAAATCAGAGGGGTGGGTTATGTCCCCAGACTTTTGATCGTCGTGGATTGTTCTTATTTTTTTCAGTATTTTGAAAGTGGCTATATTAAAAAAGCTAACAATGTTTAGGTAACAATCATTTTCTGTTTCTTATACATCGAAGTCATTTTAAGTGTAGGCAACCAAAGTCAGTATTCAGTAACCAGTGTGGATCAAACACTAGGGGAGCTTATTTGGAAATGCCTGGGTTTGGACGGTGTGAGAACTCATCAGTTTAAATTTTTATTCTACTTTCCACCTAGCATTTGCAAATCTATCGTTATCCCAAGAAACACGCAGATCACGTGAACAGAGACTGGTAACTGTGTTGGGTAATGAAGGGACCATATTTTTAGCTGATGAACTTCTGGCATGATGAGATCCTGTTTATCAAAAAAGAATCATTTACTGCCAGAGAGCAATCTGGCGGCTGGTGCTTAGATTCTCTTCTGCCCTTTGTCCAGGGCCTTGCTTGGATCTCTCAGACTATCAGTCTTTTAGTTCCTCAGTCTGCTCGTGGCCGAGAAGTTCACTTGCATCAGCGATTCATCCTACCCGGCAAAACCATCAATAAGCTCAACAACTGGGGTTTTGCCCATATGCGACAAAACTTTGTTCTATCCCTTGTCTTTATTTTCTTTACGAAGGTAAGTTCAATGCAGACAAAAACCATAAACAGCTTACATTTGCATGATGTGTTACAGTTTGCAAAGTCTCTTCATGTGCTAACAGTGAGCAAAGGTGGGTATTCCTAGACTTCTTTTGCAATGAGGACACTGAGGCTCTAGGTAGTTAAACAAGGCTCTAAGGCGTAGTGAAAGCTAATGGTTTGGGAGTCACTACAGCCTTTGGTCAACGCTGACTCCACCACTTACTTAACAGTGGTGTGACCTTGAGCAAATTACTACACCATCTTGGGCCTCAGTTTCTACCTTTGTAAAATGCGGATAGCACCTTAATGGGGCATTGTGAGACTAGAATAAATAGTGAGAGTAAAAGTATGCACATAGCTGATGCCATGTAAATATCTTTTCTGTTCTCCTTTCCCTCTTTGCACTCCCCAGACATGGGCGCCTCTCCAGGTAACCGTAAATTCCCATCTGTCCTGCTCAGCTCTCTAAAGACGGCTCCGTGTTTCATGAACCCGAGATATGGGAAGATGGAAGCGCGCTTACCTTCAGCTTGGTCAGCGTGTGCATGTCTGCCATGAAGTCCAGCACTTCGCTGACGTACTGCCGCACACACTCCATGGCCGCCGTCCCACACTGCAACACAAGACACTGCTGGGTACGCCTGCCTCTGAGCCACGGCCTCCATTTTTGCCCTGATGGCCCTGATTGTCTTGCTCTGGTTTCATGCTGTTTGCTAATGAGTTGTTTCATTTTCTGGATTTCTGACTCCCTCCATTACTCTCAGCATAGTCTGATTGTCTGCCCAGAGTAGGGACCAAAACTGATAAAAGGATTGTGGTGGAGAGCAAAGAACCCAGGCTGGCCTATGGGAGACAGCATTTCCATGCTTTTTCCCACTGGGTGATTTAACTGGTTTTTGTTTGATTGATTGATCTATTTATTTTTAAAGATTTTATTGGGGAATTGGCTACCGGGTTTGATTGTTTTTAAACAGGTTGGTACACAAAGATTTAGCCTAGGTAAAGCCATTCATATCAGTCTTTGTGACATAAATCGCCCTAAAACTACAGTAACACTTTACCACTCTAGGAAGTCTGAGAAACACATAAAAAATATGTGTCATCAAATTCTACCACCTGAATCTTGACTCGTTTCTCTATTAAAGAATGTAAACAAATATCAGGCTTCCTGAGTCAAAAAAAAATTATATTCAAGTCAAGTCACAGCTTAACTCTTATACACGGTAGGTACACTATTAAATAGATAAGTGTATTACTGTTGCATTCTTGCTAGGGATAAAGAAAGAAATGAAACTGTCACCTTCCTCAGATACTAGCAGTGTGTCTGGGAAGTTTTAAAGGAAAAGAAAGCAAGCGTGTGTTTTGGGTTATTAAATGGCATAAGCCTGCTCTCTTGAGGTAATGCAGTGAATTTAGGATTACACGCAAAGAAAAGGAAAAATGAGCAGACAGGCTGCTACATCAAAGCTGTACGAGAGAACCCACCCATCAGGCAGGGTATAATGTGGATCAAAAGCAGGCCGGCTTTGAAGCCCTCTGAATACGATGTGAAGGCTTTTCTTAGTTTTCTTTAGGAAAATCTGGAACATTATATACTTAACTAGCTCACCCAGTCAGAAATCATTTTCCCATATTCATGTAAATCTGCACAGCACTGAACTATATCACCTTCTATCTCTTCTAGAATGTTACGCCTGTCAGTTTCTCTGACAGGATAACAAACAGTCAAATAAGGTCGCTGGCAGCTCTGTCAGAGTGTTTTCCAAGCATTGCATACGTTCTAAGGTTTTCGTCTTTTAATTTAAATCAAGTGAAGGAATTATAAAAGGTTATTGTGTTCCTGCTTTTGGAATATTAATCCTTTAGTGCAAGAAAGGATTTCTCCTCCCCTCCCTGCCATTTATTCCATTTTCCCTGACCTTTCACATGTCATGCAAATAGGAGCATATACTCTGCTCTTGCAGTTCTTGAAAGGGATTTGTTTCTTTCACAGGCAATATTTTATACCATTTCAAGTAGGCAAATGTCACAGAGAATAATTACTAGGCGCATTATTCAATACCTGTCTTTTAAGTTTAAGTTGCAAAAAATGAGAGCAAAGAATGTACTATTACCCGGTTACTTTTGCTCTAGAGGCAGCAACTCATCTAATAAAAGCCTCAAAATAAACTTTATATTCAGGATAATCTTAGTGAGCCATCTACACTTATAAAACAAAGCATATAATATCCAATATCATCCCCCCCACACCTTTTATTTTTACTCTGCAAAACGTAAGTATAACCTTAGGTGTGTTATTAATAAAAAAATTTTAAAAAAAGCATCAAGCGCCCCTTGTTTCAGGAAGCCTATATTTATTTTAATAAGAAAACTTACGGTAAAAATGTTGAAAACATACTCTCAGCTCAAAAACAAGTTTTGAAGTGAATCATAGCCAATTCTTCCTCAAAACTTACATCTGATTTTAAAGTTAGATTGCTTAGATTACATTAGTAATATGCTCAATGTGGCAAACTGGGAAAATACAAATTAATAAAAAGAGAAAGAGAAATCACCATAGTCCTAATTCCTGTCCTTCGCCTGTGAGACAGCCACGGTTAATATTTCCTTCCAAGTTCTTTGGAATGCATGCAACATACACACATACATACATATAATTTTTGTAAGACTGAGATAATTTTTTCTAACCTGCTTTTAAAATAAATCCACCATAAGCATTTTTCCAATTATTTAAATAGTGTTTGAAAACTTGACTTGGTAGCCACATAATAGTCTATCTCAGAGATATACCTTATTTTATTTAAACAGTTGGACATGTTTTGTTCTTATATTTTTGCTATTTTAAATGATGACTTAATAAATATACTTGTATATAATTCCTTACGTGCACATTTAATTATTTTCTCGAATATATATTCACAGAAGTAAACTGTCAAACTGTTCTTCATCATGGTGGTACCATTTTTCACTACCACCAGTAGCTTATAAGAATGCTTGTTTCACTTCATCATCGACAAGTTGATTCATTAAGAAAATGCTGATTTACTAGCTGATTTTAATTTTTATATTTTTTAACATTCTAATATTTTATATTAATTTACAGTTCACTGATGGCTAGTGAGGGTAAAAGGTCTATTTTGAATGGCTTATTGGTCATTGGAAAGGGTTCCCTATGTGGATCCTACAACTGTTTTTGCTCTTTTGTTGTTATTGAAATGTTTGTCTTTTACTTGTTGACTTCAATAAACTTTTTATATACTAAGGATATTATTTTTTAGCTATCACATAGGTAACAAATACTGAGTATTAAAGAATTAAACAATAAGGAAACCAGTGCACGTGGAGCAGAGGCTGGCTAGCTACTCACAGAACCATTTCTCTTCTTCCCTAACACGCAGCTAGACCACATTTCCCATCCTGCCTGCCAGTTAGGTGTGGCCATGTGACTGAGTTCTAGCCAATGAAATGTGAGAAGGAATCTGCATCACATTTAGACCTGCCCCATGAAAACCTTCCATGGACCATATTCTCTTCTCTTTTCCCAACCACCAGCTGATTAGAGAAGACTGAGCATGACAGAAGGAACCTGATCCCTAAGTATTCATATGGAAGTGTTCCTCCCTCTACTAATCAAGACACCCATTTCAACTTCACAAGAGCAAACAATAAACTTTCTGTGTGTTCACTGAGAATTGGCATTTTATTTCATAGCATCTTACATTACTTTGCTATTAAAAACTCGTAAAAAACACAGTCTAGTAATTCTCCCAGAAACCTATTATAAAGAAATAGTCTAGGGGCCGGCCAAGTGGCTCAGTTGGTTAAGAGCTTTCTTAAGAGTGCGAGCTCTGAGCAATAGG